CGAAAGTCGACTTTCCCCCTGGAAAAATCCAAGATCTGACACTTTGGCCCTCGTGACCCTTGTGACCCTTTGACCGACTTTCCCCTTGAAAAAATCCGAGATCTGACACTTTGGTCCCCGGTGAAAAAAATTTTTATACAAAAATTAATATACCACCTCGTCATGGAAAACAGATCACCGTCCCCCACGGCAGGATTGCTTTCCGAGCCGAAGGCGAGGGACGGTGATCTGTTTTCCAAGGCTCAGGCATGTAATGTACTATTTCAGTTTTCACTTCACAATAAATTGTTCAAGAGGTTTATCAGATCATGAAGAAGACGCCATCAAAATCATGAATTGAAGACGCCTACGAAACTAAACATTCAGGAGGCGATTAAAGTGCCGAGAGTGTGGGTAGTCCTCGAGCGCATGGAGCTAGAGGTATCTTATAGAGAGGTATCTTACATAAAGCCTCGCCTGTACTATGAAAATTACGGTTGTTCCTAATCACATTCCTGTTGATTCTCATTGTTTTCCACAGTATTTATCATGTTTATTTCCACAATAAATGACAAATAGTTGATAAAATTCTTATCAAAAAGAAGCACTTATTTTTTTCAGGGGGTCCCTTTTGCCCGCCGGGTCCACTTTGCCCTACCCTCCCCTACAGTTATGATTGTTGAGTCTTTTAAGGCCGAGTTGATAGCGAATGCTGCATTCCAATGCAATTGGGTGAATGAGAGCCGGGGTTTCAAGAAGCACTTGCAGCTGATCATCTTCAGTGCAAACCAAGGGGTTGCCTTCAATATTTGGGGATTTTTTTCAGTAAATTTGAATCAATTGACGCGGGTATGATCAATGTTCATCAATACTCACAAGACGGCAAATATGAAATTTAGAAGAGAATAACGTCTTTACAGATCGGAAGTACGGCCGTGAGTTTCTTCGCACTAGTCAACACTGTATCGTAAATGAAGAGGACGAATGATGCTTATTACGGCTACAATCATTTAGATTCTATAAACAACCCGATGAAGCTTTCTGTTGTCTGATTCATATACAGAACCAGATATCAATGAGTTCGTTTGAAATAAAATAAAAACCCCTAAAGGCAATAAGAAATCCAAAGCCAGCGGTAAAGACCTAATTACACATTATCGCACAATCAATATAACTAGCTATAAGAGGGAAGGGAAGCCAGTTGATATCTGGACAAGCGTTTACGACCGGCCGCTCTGCCAAGTCTGCCACCACTCACCCTCCGGTGGGTGGTGGCAGACCTACCACTCCTGCATCATTGACGAGTTACCATGTATTCTTGATCAGAGATAATGTCATTCTAATGAAAGATGATTACGAATTCATAAAATTTGAGCCCAAAAAAACATTCATATCTTGTCTGACATCGCTGCTACAAACTCGGGTCTAGAACTCGGGCTTTCAATTGAAGGACTCCCTCTAAGACTGGGAGGTACTGGAGGAGCTCAGGGGAGGGTTGAAAGACGACCTCATTCTGTCTACAACACGCCCAGTCTTCACACCAGGCCGAAAGAGAAGAAACACAAGAAGCGGGATTAGGGCACATATGCTCAGATTACCGGCAACTCAATCAAACTGGCAGTGATGCCTCAGTTGTATCCGGACCAGAATCTGGATCCCGGAGGGGTGACAGAGGTGAGGAAGCTCCTGAAGTGGGCTATCTTAGCCCTACCGGATGGAGCCAAGGCACCCACCTTCGACGGGGTCTGGGAGAGGGACGGTGCAGTCGTGGTGAACTGCACAGATGAGATCACAGGGAATTGGCTGAAAAGCCTATTTCCTGAAAGCAAAATAAGTGGACACACCATACACGTTGTGTCACTCTCGGAGCGTCCAAAAAAGCACCGGGTAGTGGTGCACGTGGAGGACCCAGAGATCACTTCTCAGGAAGCATTGTGCTTCCTTGAGAAGCAAAACAAGGGTCTGATGACCAGCAAGTGGGTTGTAGTTCGGGGCAGTGAAACTAGGGACGCTAAAAATGCCTATTTCGCTGCGCTGATTGACGACAGTGCGCTGCGGATCTGAATATATATGTAGGGAGTATTTTCCTAGATTTCAGTAGTTGTGCTAAACCGCTCGGTGGCGCCACATGAAAATTTCGGCCTCCGGTGAGTTGACGTCACAGGCCTTTTGAGAGCATTTAAAAAATGTAATTTTTAAAAGCAAATAAATAATTATGGATTCTTGGAGCCATATATTTGAGGGAAAAAAATTTAAAAAACACGCAAGTTCCCTATTAGACCTATAGCGGTGATTAGCTCCTAACAATCGTCCATGACCTAATTTTTAATTCAGTTTGCTACTAGCCCATGTTATATTCAATAGAAACGAGACATACGACTTGAGTCAGACTGCCTACCCCGCAATCTATCCCTTCGCGATCGACAGTATGAGTAAATACATCGCGTGTATTTCTATTGAGCTTTTGATATTTATCAGCGTGGGTGCTTGGTGGATAGCTGCAGACATGGTGTTCCTGCAATCGGCGACTCACTTATCTTCACAGTATCAAGTATAACTCCAGCCAAACCGCGAAAAAGATGACCAAGTAATCGTAAATTGTCTTATTTTTTGCATCAGATTTTGAATGATGATTTAATGACGATTAAAACCGCAAATGATACGCCTACTGTTAGTAATTATTCTCCGATTCAACAATTGAATTCTATTGGCAAACGTCACGCTCATTTGTTACTGTGAGAAAATTCGACTGCTGTTCGTCCAAATCATCATTTTGTGTTTTTTAGATTGTCCGAGAAGTTGAAGAGATTATTCAGCCCGATATTGATGTGTCTGATGTTGGTGACGAGCGCTAATATTTGCATCTGCATAATAAATCTTCAGGAGGTATCTTTGAATTTAATCTCATGGCTATGATTATTGACGTACGAATAGACGTTGATTTCAGGAACTTATCCATAAAAACATTGCTGGAGTCAACAAATGTGTTGTACACACTATAATTACGATGATCCAACCGGCTATATATTGCATTTATACCAATGATCTTGTTGAAAGTGTAAGTCATGTCAGTTAACCCTCTGAGGTGAACGGGCGTTTCCCCCACTCTATATTATCTCGGTGAGGCGTGGCCTACACAGCATGGTGGGAGCTGCGACGTCAGTGTCGGCTCAACAGTGCTGCGAGCTGACTATAGGGCTTCTAGCAGAAGTTTTCCCTTTCCAGGGAACCCCCTCTCCACGTAATTCCCACTCATATGCTTGTCCCCCACTCCAAAAATCCATGGATATTCTTCTGGAAGAATAGCCCTACGATCAGACCGAGGAGATTATGCTTTTGGTTTTCAGAGGTGGGGACAAGTATGTGAGTGGGCATTGGGCAAAGTGGGGGGGGGGGCACAATCTCCTCAGTTCTATTCCAAATTAAGGGTGCCAAGTGAATTTGAAAAAAGATTCAAAAAAAATTTTTTCTTCCCCTCCATCATTGGAGAAATATGTATTCATCCATCCGACGAAATTTCAAACCCGCAACCGGAACTAGACATCGAGAAAATAAATGCGGAAAATCCTCTATTTCGCGTGACGAACCTCGAGAAAGCATGGGATCAAATGGGTACGGCGGGTTGAAATATCTCTCTTATTCACCCCGGTACCCCATTGTTTTTTGTCGCCATCACATTGAACACATCATTCCCCATATCTTCAAATTTTTTCAAATTTTTCTTGAGTTTCTAGGGGGTTGAAACGTTCAATTTAATCAAAACTCCATAAGAGGCCGTGTATAAGACTGATTTTGTTTATTTAATTTCTCGATATCCATAAGTTCTAAAATTTTAAAATTGTCACCGATGTTCACCATCTGTCTAATACTATTAATTAAAAAAATTATAACTTTGTTGGTGAATGTCAATTTTCAAGGTCATCGCCAAATTCACTTGGCACCCTTAATTTCCACTGTACGAGGGAACTGTGGCGCCTTAGAGCTGATCTTGTTGCGTTACTGCGCGATAGCCTGGCCTTCTACCAGGTAGTGGGGACAGTAAACGCGCGCGATTTGTTCACCCTATACGAAGAAGTTCTTCGTATTTTTAATGTAAAATCTCGGTTTTTGTCTCGCTTTGTCTCGTCTCGAATTTCTACATATAAAAAACCCGAAAAACTGGAAACCGAGGTAAGATAAATTGACTCAGAGTCATCACGAGAGGAATCAATACTGCGTATTTCGAGATTGAAACCAGACTAAAAATTTCCGCGTTCACTGAGTCCGAGACAATCCATCCAAAGTATTATCTCGTAATGTCCCGTAAAGTCTCTCGTGGCATCACTACTCCCAAGAAATTTATCCTCAAGAGATGAAATATTTGGTGGGAGAAATTAGTTTTGTGATATTATGACGATATTTCTATCAGTGTATTTTTTTTTCTCGCTGTATCGTTAATATTTCGAAAAAAAACTTCATCACTTGATTATACATAAGTGTTATTATTGATAATGATAATAATCCGTACAGTTTTCATTCTATTATTTATAGAATATTCAATAAAAGGTGAAATCGTCCAGGTATTGGCCCGAGTCCAGCTATTGCCCTGCTCACCCTACTAAATCGTAAATTTTTTTAGGCCGAGCGGACCGCAACAGCGGCATATGAATCTGATTGGGTGGCCGAAACTCAGAATTTCAAAAAATCTGTGCGACTGATGACCATGCGTTCCCAAAAAGGTCTGAAATTCCGGATTTATGGATTCTTCAACGTCGACTTGAATCAATTGACGCAGGTATTATGCCCCATCAATGACCTTATCAAATCAACATAATAATTACGATATTATCGCTCATAGATTGGTGTCACCGCTGCGAGATTTTTTGCACTGATGAACAATCTATCCTGATCTGATCAGCCTCAAAAGTAAAATCAAAGTGAATGTGCAGTAAAATTTGAATGATTGCCTCACCCACATAGATGTGAGCCAATTCTAGTTATCGTTTATACCAACTTGAACTATGATTCCCACAGCCGTTAACTCAAGCATGATATCACCTGTTGATGTCACATCGTCTGTCGATAATAGCGAGAGCGTCAGAGACTTCAAGACCTAGCGCGGATAATTACCAACTGCTGAACAAAATTCTCCCAATGATGAAACAATTTTCAAAATAAATGAGAAAATTTTAAAGTAACCGCATTACATTCGCATATTATTTGAATCCGACGAAGACAATGCTTCAGTCATTAAGATAGTTACCTTTGCGCTTGATTCTTGGACTATTGCAACCAATTGGTTGATATTACTGATCGATTAATGAGGGGTCAAAGACCTCGATGACCTCCAGAAAACTGAAACCGCATTATCTCGTCGTTTTCGATAAAATAAAATATAATTGCAAAGAAAACTTTCGTTTTATTCGAAAAAGCTGTCGCTAACAGGATCATCGGGCCAGACGTTTTTCTATGAATAATGAAAAACTCTGATGGACTGCCGGAGCCGATAAACTTCTCCCATATAATTAATTTGTCGATATCATTTACAATGCAAGCGCTCTTCTCAGAAAAAGCTCCAAACTTTTGCAAGACGTAATATTCCCCCCGAATGATCGTGAATAACGAATGATCCTGAGGCCTGTGGGGAGGGTTCATCGCCGTAGTGATAGTCGGCGGAGCTCAGTCAACAGACACTGTCAGTCCGATGAACATCTCCAGTCTTCACTCTTCAACAATTCACTGTCAGGTAAGTGAATCAAATTCAACTGCATAAAACGTGCAACAGTGAATTAAAATATCATCTTACAAGAAAAAAAATTCGCGGTGAAATATATTTCCTTGACGTGTATCGAAGCTAAATCAAGAGCCCTCGGGAGTGAAAAAGAACTACTGAAGTGCGGGGAAAAGTTTGCGCAGTGAATTCTCAGCCGAAAAGGAATGGAAAAATTCGAAAGATGGCTTAAAAAATTTCTTCCCTTTGTAGAAACGGGATCAAGCGAGTTGGGAGTGATCTGTAAACAATAAATCATTTCTAAAAATATTTGAAAATGCGAGATGGAAGCGGCGCCATCTTTAAAGCGCCTTAACCTTGAAAACGGCACCGGACGGTGTAAGTGTCATGGTCACATGCACGAAAAAATTTAATAATAGCCGAATCAATTCAAGAATTCCGTTTTTTTGTAGAAATGTTCGATGGGAAATTCTATTGAGATATTTTCTACAGAAATTCCGTGGTTCAAATTTCCTATTTTTTGGGTCAATTTTTTTCTATCAAAAGAAGAAGAAAATAAAGTGGACGAAACATGCAAAACACATGCGTGGATGGAAAATTCGCCTTGGGGAATTTCTATCGAAAATATTTCACTAGAAAATTTGCGTAGAAAGTTAAAATTCTCCGGGTTTTTTCTATAAAATAGTTTCTGCTGGACATTTTCTATTGAAAAAATGCGCGGTGAAGCTGTAGATTTCCTCAATAGAAGTTCAATAAAGTGATTCAAATCGTCAAGCCTCGATGTCTCATTCTCAACCTGCGACAAAATCCAGTGTGCCTGGTTTTCAACGAGCGACAGATTCGTAATCACAATTTTAGGTTAGATTGTGCTCCTTTTTGACCGCTTTTGACGTATGGAAAACAATCCCCTTATTATTTTCCCTCAATTTTGTAAATATAATTTGTGTAAATGAATTGAGGAGACAATGAAGTTATCATGAATAGTCTGGGCCTCAGTTTGATACTCAGAATGGGGTGTTTGTGCTCCAAAGAAACAATCACTGTCAATTCGACCAAGTACAGGGTTTTGGAGCATCTTGGAGAAGGGTATGTGCATTAATTAATTAAAAACAAAAAACTCAAACTAATGATTAAAAGACAGAAGTTGACGAATTTATCATGAGTTTTTGGCCTCTCCCGATTTATATAAATCATGCTGCGAATTTTGGATTCATCAGGGGTTTCAGCACAGTTTATCTAGTAGAAGATATCGAAAGTCACAAAAAATATGCAATCAAAAAAATTGTTTGTCATGGACCTGAGGACCAGCATGCAGCTGCCAAAGAGATCGAGTGTCATTCGATGTTGAAACACCCAAATATCATTCCTCTCATAGATTCAGCTCAAAATGGCCTTGCCGATCCCCTCATCAATTCTACTGGGGAGGTTCTGCTGGTTCTGCCTTATTATCACGTGAGAATATTTTTGATTCAATTTATTGGATGAGTGATAAGAGAAGAAAAGCCGAGAGAGAAACAGATTGAGGGGATGTGTGAAAAAGCAATTCGAATATTTTACGTCTTTCTCTTTTGAAAATATCTCTTGAACAAATAGATTTTAGAGGAAATGTCCAAGAACTTTTTTCAGAGAATTGTATTCTCCATAAAGAAATATTATCTGATCTGTGAAAAGATAATTCGAATAATTTACGTCTTTCTCTCTTGAAATTATCTCTGAGACAAATATATTTGGGAGAAAATGTCAAAGGAGTTTTGTTCGAGAATTATATTCTTCATAAAAAAAAATGTCAAATTCTCCCCTAAACCCAAAATAAAAGCATCTTCAATTCCTAGAGAGGAACATTAGCCCACGAACTAGAGAGAAGATCCAAGAATTCCAACTACTTCAGTCCCCTGGAGATTCTCAACCTATTTCTCCAGATATGCGAGGGTGTGAGGGCCTTTCACGAGGTGAAGCCTGAACCCCTAGCCCACAGAGACCTCAAAACAGCGAATATTGTGATTGGGGATGGCATGACACCAGTGATAATGGACCTGGGGTCTGTCGCCCCAGCTAGGGTCAAGGTCTGTGGAGCTCAGGACGCTCAGTCCCTTCAGGATGTCGCGGCTGAGAGATGCTCAATGCCTTACAGAGCACCTGAACTCTTCAATGTCGAGAGCTACTGCATGGTCGACGAGAGAACTGACATATGGGCCCTTGGCTGTATTTTGTACGCCCTTTGCTATTTTAAATCACCTTTTGATGCTGTTTACGAACGGGGGGACAGTGTGGCACTGGCAGTCATCAGTGCTAATGTCAGTTTTCCGGAGAATGCACCTTACAGTGAGGTAAATATTAAATGAGGTCAAATATTTCCTCTTTTTGCCCGGGTACCCCAGATTTTTCTCTGGCCGTTGGATTCAGTATTTTACACATTGCTTTCCATTTTTATTTATGTTTTTAGAGTCTTCTAGTGGGTGAATTATCAATTTGAAAAAAAAATTCATAAAAGCCCGTGTATAAGGCAAAATTAGTTTATTCATTTCTGCCGAGACTATTGCGATCAAGTTTTTTTAACGTTAGAAAAGTTAGTTTTATATATATGCTGGCAGCCGAAAAAATTTCAGAATTTTCCTTGTCCATGAAAAAAAAAACACATTTACCGACAATTTACCGACACTGGCTAAACATCCTTAACCGTCCAGCTATTGGCCTGTTTACCCAAAAATATTTTCTATTTTTAAAAATGTGCAGTATATCTGCGAAATTCTTCAATAGAGTCAGCCAAAAATTGACAGAATTTTCTACCGAATTCACAAGGTTTTTGTGAAGATATTTGCAAACAACATTTTTTTTTCAGGAAATGCAGAATTTAATTCTCTCAATGTTGAAAACAAATCCGATGGAGCGACCCTATATCTACAGTGTAATAGAAAGTATTCACGATGCAATAGCCAAGATCGAGGGACGAGTCTGATCGTTAATATTAATTTTATTAATTTATTTGCGATGATAATTGAACAGTGAAAAGATAAATTAAATTTATCTTCCCGATTCATAATTTTTCTGAATTAACTTAAGAAAATATTTCAGTTGTCATTTATCCACTGAGTGTAATTAGATTATCAATTATTTCTTTGATTTTATTCGTAATTATACGTAATTAGTTAGAAGAGAAATTTTTCCTAGTAATTCCGACCAGAATAAAGAAACAAATAAGATAATTTTTAACAAGAAAATTTCAATGTTCGACGAACACATCTGCATTTGAAAGATTAATCAACTGTTGATAAATTAATGAAGCGAAACACTGCAATTATTGATGTATAGTATAGATTTTATTAAACGATTGATCGATGTAATTTAACATTCCTATGAATTATCAGTTATATTGTAAAGAAATATTTTACTATTGAATAGAAATATTGTTGAAGTAATCAGAGGAATTTATACCGTCGGAAATAAAAGAGTGATTATCAATGAATAAATTATTTTCTCAATTACAAATTCCTTGAAAAAGATTTAAAATCTCATTTTTGTGGATTATTATTTTGCGATTATCTCGATAATTACTAGGTTTAGGAGAAACTCACAGAAGACTTTTTTGTGGGGAATTTAATTATCCACAAAAGAGTTCTTATGACATTTTCTCCTAAAACTCTTCATTACTGAGATAATTACAGAATAATCAATTAATATTGATTTTTAATTCTTCAATTCATGTCTATTTAATTATAAATAATCAAAAAATGTAATTGTGAAATTTGTCTCAATTATTTGAAAAATTATTGGCAGCACTTCACGCTGGTCAACCTGTCTAAATAATTCCCATTGGAAACGTCAGGTGGCGCTCGCATCGACCGCTTCCTTTTCCGTTTTTGCTCTGATAGAGGTCTGTGCCAATTCGTGTTCAATAATTATAAATCATTTCAGTAATAATCAATCCTAGTGTTGTTAACTAAACGAATTATTGATTATTGTTAAAAAATTCATCATTATGATTGCAGTGGATATATTTGTGAATTATCGAGTGATGTTTTTGTTATTTTTTACAGAAATAAAATGGTGCAGCGACTCACCTACCGACGACGTCTGTCGTACAACACGAAGAGCAATCGGAGACGAGTGTAAGTATTCCGAAATTATCAGTAATTGCTCATCAAGTCGAGAGCAAAGGCTGCAATTTTTTATTGAGAGAGATTTTTTTTAAAGAAATTGAAAACCATTTGAGGTAGAAAATTTTCGGAGTGAAGTAAGGTTATGTTTTGCTGGAGTATACATTCACGTGTCAACTGCACTAGAATATAACAATGAATGTAACGATGAATTTTGGACGATTTTTTGAGAATTGAAGCCTTGAAATAGATTTTCCAAGGGGGAATTTCAATTTTTCAGAATGAATTTTTTATCTTCGCGAGGAGAAGATGATTTTGTTTTGTTTTTTGAAAATATCTCGAGATGGATTAGGTTTAGTAGAAAATGTTACAGACCATTTTTTATGGGAAACTGAATTGCCCACAAAAACGGACTCTAGACATTTTCTCCTAAAACCACTCATTAACGAGATAATGTACAAAACAAATCGTCCTGTCTTGTCGGAGTGTGACGATGTCGTTGACGTTAATTTGTTTCATACATGGATAACTATTAATTTTCTCCAAAAATGTCAGAAGATATTTTTTGTAGAGAATGAAATTCCTCACAGAAAATTTCTCTTCAATTTTTTTCCAAATCCCCTAGTTTCTGAGATAAAATTACCAAAAATGTTATTGAGAGCGAAATGAAGAATGAAATATCAAGCATTCGCTATTCAAAAAATTCATTATTGATGATTTAATTGCAGGGTACGTACTCCAGGTGGTAAGCTCGTGTACCAGTACCTGAAGAAACCCAAGAAGATACCAAGATGTGGTCAGTGCAAAGACAAACTCAGGGGTATCCAGCCAGCAAGGCCAATGGAACGCTCTCGTATGTGCAGACGTAAGAAGACTGTCAAGCGAGTCTACGGTGGTGTTCTCTGCCACAAATGCGTCAAAGAGAGGTACGAGGGGCTATCAACATAATTAAACCTCATCCCTATCAATTTTCTAATATTTTTTATCCCCCAAAAATTCATCCTGTGCACACTGAATCCGTAAAATAGAACTGGAAAGACCAGAAGAATTCCTCTCCATCCCTTAAAAAAATCTAATCGACTTTTATCAACTCTATGAGAATATTTCGAAGAACTTTATCTGCAGAAAATTTAGAAAATTGATGAAATTGAGACGATTCCGTGCTTGGAAAAAACTTGATTTTCACGTGATTTGGTTGCTTTTGTTAAATGCAAAATTGTCTTTTGAATGAATGATTTTTTGAGAAACTTGTCGTGATATTTTCGCAATTTCACCCAATAAATTCTAATGAATTTGTTTATTATTTTTCTAGGATTGTTCGTGCTTTCCTCATCGAGGAGCAGAAAATCGTGGTGAAGGTAATGAGGGCGCAGCAAGCTTCCACAAAAGCGAAGAAGGTCGAGAAATAACTTACCACATTTTAATTAATTAATAAAAAAAATTGGAAAAAACATACTGAGGAATTTTGTACAATTTTTTTCCACCACTTCCCCCCCCCTGAAACTAATTTTTTATCTTAAGGCCCGGGTGGATTATCTTTCGAATGTTATCTCTATTGTTTTTCCGTCTGCATAATGTAAAATGTATCACAATTTATATTGGATTTTACATACCCACGAGTCCCTAAAAATGATTGTACAATCAAAAAAAGTAGAAAAAAAACTGAACATTTTCAAAGAGTGTCTTTAATAAAGATTAAGAAATAAGTCCAATAGAGAGGAAATAGTGAATGGGTAATTTTTATTATTTTATTTTCAACGTGATTTACCGGAAGGGGTTTGCGACTGGCCATCGCCCGAAGGCCTTCAGCCTGGTATTTACAGAGATATTTAGTTGAATGTTATGATAATGTACCGTGTACCATAGAGATCAAAATACAAAAAGAGATAAATCGAGATTTTTGTACATTGGAAAGTACATGGGATGCGAGTGAAACAATTTGAAGGGTTTGATGAGAATGAAGAAAGAAAGTAGAGAACTAATGTTGTTTATGCAAAGATCTATTATTGGAGGCGTGCTAAACCCCCCCAGCCATTGGCTACTGTGACAAATGACGACCTAACAGCCATTAGATACGTCAAATTATTAATTGACAATTTCCTCCCTATTGGATTTATTTCCCAATATTATTGAAAAATGCTCTTTGAAAATGTTCGGCTTTTTTTCAACGTTGTTTTAATTGTACAATCATAATTTTTTCATTTACACTAATTCATTAATGGAAATGAGAAAAGGATGGAATATTTCTGAAACTTTTTCATCAATTTCATCAACCAGAGAATGGAAAAAAATGACAGTTATCTTGATAAATCTAATCAACAATAATTTTAAAAAAAGGAGAATGGTTTTTCGTTTGAGATTAGATTTCTAGTTCAGACCGAGTCATTTAGCACTACTCGAGCCTCCTTTCTGTTTCCCTCAACGGCTTGACTGTCTAACGTGCACCGAGTGTGAATTGTACGCTCGATACCAACAAATAAGGCGCTTGTTAAGAGCAACAAAATCACCTTTTTTTCAAACGAATGCAGTTCTCGTTATGGTTTCTCGGTGGTTAAGAACCGGAGAATGGAAGAAACGAGAGAACATTCTCATGTATCTCAAACTTTACCATAAATGGGAGCTGACATTCTTTTTAGCTTATACGGAAGAAACTGCGGGAGCATAAGCGTATTCACCGTTTGCTAAATAAATAAATAATTAACAAAAACTCATGACTAATCTACTGAAATTCACCTCACACTTATTCCATCATTCTTCTAATAATAATAATCACAATAATAATAACAGGAAAAATGGAAAAAGGTTTTCGACAAAAAAACAAGTGGGAAATTGATCTTGTATTGCATATAGCATAGTTATTTTTACTAATAAATTAGCAATATACAATAGACAAGAGTATTTTGAGAAGGACATCTTTACTTGTATCAAGAAATTCATGACTTGAACATTATCAAGCGTACCATATCTCACAATAAGAAAAAAAAATCTTATAAGAAATTTTCTACTTGTCCGAAAGATGAGGGCAATTGGTTCATATCAAGAAAACGCGTTCTCAAATCAATTCAAGGGGTTTTTGCATTAAAATATTTTAAAATTAAGACTAAAAAACAATTGAATGAATTAATTCAATTTTACTTGGTTTGAGAAATAGCTTTCTTGTCATCAAGAAATTGTCCTCGTCCTTAGGACAAATACAAAATTTATTGACGAAAGTTTTCTTTTTCTCAGTGCAATTTTGCTGCTGAAAATTTTCATGCCACAAGTTTCTCGATATAAGTAAAGACGTACTTCTCAAAAAACTTTTTCCCAGTGTACCGGGTCGATATAATACAAAAAATCCAAAACTTGGATTTTAACGATTACAAAGCTTCTATTCGGAAGCAACAGCAATCTTTAAAATCAATTTGGAAAATCAATCGAAAATTTTTTTTTCCAATTTGTTTTTCCTCTAAAAATAGCAAAAAAAGGGGATAAAAAAATGGATGAACAATTCTCATTCTTACACTCGAGAGAGACGACTGAGAATGCCGAGAACTCGTCGAATTCACCGGACAAACTAAAAAAAATGAAGGAACAAAAGTGAGAATGTCAAGACGAATTTTACATTGTGAGAAACACAATTTTTTTTTCTCATTCCTCTCACAAGTCGTTTTTGCACAAGTCTTCAATAAGGGGGCAGGAAGGAACAGAGGGCTGGGAGGAAAGGCGAGGGCTCTTGGTCCTTTTTTGCACGTGCAATTTCGCACGTCGGGCGCAAGAAAATTGAGAATAAGAGAAATTGCGGTTGAATTCTCCCATCCCATCCTTCAAATGAGACTTCGATTGCTTTTGAATAACTCGGGATTTGCGTTGGAGTGCCGAGGAGTCTCTCATTCAATAATTCTTTTGGCATTGATAACTATCTACATTACTTTTTTCTCGCTATCGTAAATTGAATCTTGATGCAAATTGCATTTTGTTTTTTTATGAATTTTTATTGCAGAATTACGAGGATAAAAGTTTTTTCTCAGATTATTTCTTTTGGAGAATGAAAATGGGGAAAAAATGCGAGTCTAATATTACGAATTATTGTTGTACTAGGGTCCCTAGATTAATTTATACTATGTTATTTTATTTTATTTTCTTTCCATTTCAGTCTTCACAATTAGATTAATTTATTTTTATTCATTCTTACTGTTATTATATATATTTTCTTTCCTTAATTCACAACATTGAATGAAGAGGAATTCCTCATAAATCACGCGAGAATATAGATTGACAAACAATTTTCGATAATCATACCTAAAAGTTTTCATTTCTCTCTTTTTCTTTAAATTAATTAGTACCAATGATCTGAAAATGTGAACGAATATGAACATTTTACATCCCTTTGATTTCATTTCAATGGAACCGAAGAAGTAAATTGCAAGAAAGATCGATCAACATCAATCAGTATCAATAAAATGAAAAAATCTATTTTTCTAGGGGAGGATGGGACAAAGTGGAACGCGGGGTAAATTGAAACGGGGGCAAAGTGAAACGGTAGTGAATTTTGGTTTCCCAAAATTATAGGACCTTTTTGTTTTGTTTCTGAATGAAAGCTTATATATTTTTTCGAATAATGCACCAATACCCATAAATTCAATTCCTATCCTTATTTGCAAAGAATTCATTTAAAAAATAGCAAAGCATTCAAATCGTGCGATGAAAAATTTTATCGGATTATTATTATGTAATTTTCTATACACTGATTTGTTTATTCATTTGTTTAAGAAAAATCATAATTCAAAAAGGAGAATTCATTTTTTTCTTTTTCCAGTCTTAATTTTTTTAAGCAAAATGATGGTAAAATTATGAAAAAATTTTCATTAATTGCAGATATTGGCCGTAATATTGCTAATTTTTTCCGATTTTTATCTCATATATTTAGCAATTAAAATGAATTTATTTTTAAAAATGCGGTTTTTGTTGATTTTAATCATTTTTGAATTCATCGTTAAGTCGCTGTGGTTCCGTGGTAGATCTTCATAACAATTGATTCCTATAATTTACTGTGGCCCGTTTGACAAAATAACAAGTGGGTAGGGTGTCGGTTTTCACACCCGCGTCGCAACGGGGGGAAGGTATCCTGACGCCAAAACCCCAGGGGAATGTAAAAAAGGGACGAGAGAGACTGAACCGGTCCCGATGAATCTTTGTTATATATACCCTTGATCCTCTAAAACCCTCTCTCTTCCTCCTCTTAATTTTTTTTATCCTCTTCAACTATCACCACACGAAAAAAACCCCGAAAATCCAGGGCTGTAGCACTGAATAAAACATTGTTTTCGGCAATTATCCATTAACAATCGAGACAACAGAACTGATTCATCCAAAAATGACAACGCAATTTTTTCCCTCAGAAAATGTTAATAAAAACTATTCTATAGAAAGTTTTTCAGTCGACCAGGCATTTTGCAGTTGAGTATTGGACGGAAAATGCATTGAAATGCATTAAAATGACAGACAACTAAAATCCATGAGAAAAAATAATTTTCCCTTACATATTATGAATTTTATTTCTCATCCTTTGATTATTTGAGTACCCACTTCTCCCAAGTACTGGGACCCCGACCGAACTCAAGGGTCACCAGTTTTTTTTTAAACGAATAACCGAGATTAGTCGACCGTTACATTGGATAATCAATCGTAATTGTCTATTTAGACGTTGCCCAGAGGACCGTTTGTCCCCTCGTTATTTAATTCAACGAATCATCGGGGTCCACAGACCAGTGAATGAACCAGAGTTAAATCTTCAGCTCCACTTATTCATTCATTTCGCCGTTTATTTATTCACTTCTGATTGAACGAAACGCATTCAACTATTTTAGTCAACTATTTTAGTCAAATATTTTCATGTAAATAATTATTATTATTATCAGCGTATGCCTTTATCAATTTTTGGTTTGATGAAAATTGCAATTTTTCATTTTTATAAACATTTTCACAAAAAAATATACTGAAAACTAATTTTCTAATTGATTCGTCGGAACTGAAAGGGTAATATCCGGGTGGCCCACCGAGTTGTAGATAACGCAATTATGCATATTAGTGCTGAACGCTCGGTTTATCTTAACCCCTTGATAAGGTGAATTTTTACGGTTTCCCGAGTCAGGTGTGAAGGGAAGGTGGACCGGAGGCATCAGCCATCAGTGTAACATCTCCAAACAATATTTTTCACAGAAACAAAAATATAAAAAATTTTATTCCCACCTCAAAAAATTATTTAAAACCAAGAAAAATCTTCGGTGTTTTTTAATTTAATTTTTTTTTTTCAAATCAACAAATCATTGAGTTAATCTCATAATTGTGTCGATTAAACGCGCTGATCTGGGCCCCATTGACACAATTTTTTAAAAGATTTAATTGTATTTTTAAAACGGCAAAAAATCCGCAAATTACTAGTTATAAAAGTAAATACAGCCCTGGTAATCCGATGAATAGAATATCCCGATGATTTTGGTCCCGGTGGACTGGTACGATTGGGACCCTCTTGTGGGCACGGCGCGTTAAGGCCCCTCTTCTCTCATTCCCCGATTTTGCTCTTTTATGGTCTCTCCTCTCTTCTACGTCCCAACCGCATGAAATATGCCTTCCACTGGACGTTACGAATGCGCGTTGAATAGATCCGAGATTTCGTGCCTCGACACACTGAACAGAAGAGAACAAGACTCGATTCTCTCCTTCAAAAACCTCTCGGCATTATTTTCCTTTGTAATTTTTTCTCATTCTGTTTTTTTTCTCTTTTATTTTGTCTTGTTCTCGGGTCCTTTGTGTGACGCCTGAGGACTCGGGTAACAACAATACGGAGTCTGGTTGAGTTTCAGAACTAAATTTGTTTTGTTGAAACTTGCAAGATTATTTTTCAATAATATTTAAAAGAATCGAAATTCTTAAATTAGTGAGATAATCTCGGGTATCGAATTCATCTTTATAAATTTTCTAACAATTCTCTCGCCATTTTTCCTAAAAAAAACAAAAACCATGAAAAATATATTTTTTTTAAGCAGACGATTTCCAAAATGAGTGATTTATACTATTGCATCTACTTCCCTGAGTTATTTCCAAAATTTTAATTCCTTCCAGGTATCCACCGCAAATAATCATCAATCGTACTGTTAATCCCCGAATCCGGTTTAACATTGTCGCTCAGGATTTCGAAAATTAAATCCTGATTAAATGTCCCGCGGTGGGGCTTTTTGTCCGAAAGTAAGGGATCGACGCGCCCAGGATACCTGTAGGTGTCTGGAGGCGACCGTAAGGGTGGAACTGTGGGGGGGGGGAGACAGAGGTGCGAATGATTGCCTCACGTAGTGAGATGGGTCTTCGCTTTTCAGACGAAATTTAATACATTTGATCAATTGTGTCTAGACATAATTCCCTCATTTCCAGATCATTCCACACAGAGAGAAATATTCAATAAAAATTACGTATCTTTTTCGTAATTCCGGAGCGAAATGTGGTTGTAGGAAATTTTACGGAACTGTCACGGAATTTTTCCAGAGCGTTCCGTAATTTTTATCTGAATCTCCTGTGAAAAATTACGATACCGTGACTTAAATTTTCTGAGTGGATTCCGTAATCGGTGAGCGAATTGTGAGTTCCATAATTTTTACTGAACATTTCTCTCCGTACAATTAAAAAATGTAATTATGTCGAACGAAAAGATAAAATAAAATCCGTTGGAATCCATTTCTCTATTCAAAGCAGATGGCAGTAGACTACTGAGTAGAGGAAATACGGGAATTTTACGATTGTCGGTACTTATAAATGCCTGAATAGTTACGGATAATACAAATTGTGTCCATTGTACAAATGATTTCGTGCCGCCACCAATGTCTGGAGGACCCGAGGGTTAATTTCAAGCCTGCCAATAAATTACCACTCTCGGATACCTGTCTGAACCCTCCCCCCCCCCCACACCGGCCTAATTCCAGAAATACAAGTTATTAGAAGTATTCTTAATTAATGTTTTAATGAATTCATTCCAATTTATCACTTCGAAAAAAACGAAAACAAAACATAAAACTTGAATGTAAAAAATATCGTATTTTCAACCTTTGGATACTAGAAAATTTTCGTGAGCTGCATGAGAGCCTCTCATGTTACAATCTCATCGTCAGCCCCCCCGAAATTTACCACTCGAGGTAAAAAAAAAGAGATTGGAAAAAAAATTATTGTAAAAATTCCACTCGTGCTCACAAAAATGCTCAAGAGCAAATTAAAACGCATTAAATGTTCCACTCGTCAATATAATCTAAACTGGGGATCATGTTGACGCCTAGTTCACTAGTAAGTCCGACGACTTTACGAGTAATGCGTGCAAAACGAATGAATTCTAAACATATCCATTGCCGATTATTTCCTTTTTCGGTTTCTATAAATAATATAAACACTCGTCAACACGAATCAAGATAAATATCTCCCCCTCGCTGACATAGGGATCTTAACTGTTATCAAATGAGCATTAATTACCGCCAATATCAATGATCAAATTCATTTATTAAACAAGAAAGAATAACAAACTATTACTCATTACATAAAAAGGTTCAATGATATATTTTCCCACTATCCACGGAGAAGTCGAACGAGGCCATTGATTTTCGCATTCTTCCATTAATGATGACAAACTATCGGCAGGATTCATCTCCAGTTAATTATCAGCAATCGCGGATTTCTCCTCAGCAATCAATCCTCGTGATCTCAGCAGGGGTGAGGGTAATGACAAACACTTTTGTCCCAGATGTCAACAGTACCTGGAAATTCATAAGATGAATCTCACGCAACATGTATCCATTTTTCATGAATCCGCTTCCAGTCGTTCAAGTATTTTTCTTATTAATTTCGGAGGTCAATCAGTGGCGCCTAGAGACCCAGTGTCACACTTCATTTCATCTCACAGATAACATTCATCACATTTTTTTTATGTCTCGCACGCTTCAAGAGGAATTCGTTTCTCATGAAAGTGTCGATCATCTCTAAAAATATAAAATGATGTTACTGTTTTAACCAGTGATACATATTCAATCTTCATAACAGAGTACATAATTACATAACATGAAATGCATCAGTAAATTTTGAATTTGAAAAAGAAAAATCAAGAACTAAGTGCTAACCCCATCTACCCCTCATAAAAATCCGTCGGTAACCCCTAAGCCACATCTACGCATGCGCCCACCCTACGCATGCTCAAACCCACCCCCATGCCTCTCCCACCCCAAAGGTACCCCAAGCCTTTCTACAAACCAAAACCCGGCGAGAAGGAAAAAAAATCAAATAATATAAATAAGAAACCCAAAGAAAAGGGGCATCTCAGCTCCGACCGACTGCCGCCGTTCGTCGGTTAGCTGGCGTCGGACAACGTTAGGGTACAAGTCGCCCAGTGTGTTAAGAAGAATAAACGAAAAAGTAAAAAACGAGTATATCCAGAAGAGAGGCAAAGGAGCGTCGCGGCACAGTGGCGCCCGTAGGGCGCCGACTCACTCTAAACCGCCATAGCTGACGCCCCCGTCTGCCTCTCGCTCATCCCTCTCCGCCTCAACGCACGCACCTCACGCTGTCTCCCTTACTTACCTCATCTGGAGTCCCTACTTACCTCTCCTTTCTTCTTACTTACCTCGTATTCCCTCGTATCTCTTCTTTCTCTCGTATTCCCTGCTACCCTCTCCATACTTACCATTCTCCCGTTCCTCCACGTTCCCCTTCTCACGTTCGCCCGTCGTACAAAACCAGCCCGATCTCAGCCGAACGCACGCACCTCACGCTGTCTCCCTTACTTACCTCATCAGGAGTCCCTACTTACCTCTCCTTTCTTCTTACTTACCTCGTGTTCCCTCGTATCTCTTCTTTCTCTCGTATTCCCTGGTACCCTCTCCATACTTACCGTTCTCTCGTTCCTCCACGTTCCCCTTCCTCACGTTCACCCGTCGTACAAAACCAGCCCGATCTCAGCCGAACACTGCCCCCACTCCGCCTTACCTCACGGACCTAAACCCCCCACTACTTACCTACCGGAAACATCCGAACAACCGAACCTTCGGGGTATAGTAGGCACTACTCCTCACCGCTTTAACCACTACGTCACAGTGAAGTATGTGTTCTCGAGTGTAGAAAATGGCTGCTGCGCTCACCGTAAAAACGGGAAGGCGCGAATGTAAATACGGCCTACTATGGCTCAGTGTTTTTTTTATTCTCGCAAGAAATATTGGGGGTGAGTAAAATTTCATTCTATTTACTAGTGATTGCATTTTTTTGGGGCACAAGGGATCATGTTAGCAGGGGTTTAAGGGAGTTCAGGATTTTTTCTCTTGAGGCAGGAGAGAATGGGAAATATGTCGGGGGAAGGGGGACATTCTGCACACATGTGATTAGGATATCAGTGAGAAATTAAATCGAGTGTGAATCCTGTCACAGGATGAGGGAGGGGATTCTCAGGGGGCACATGTGGTTCCTAGGGAGGTGACAGATTTCCTCGGAGGGTGAGGGTGTCCCGGGTTTGGAGAATTTTCGCCGGAATTTCGAGTTGTGATTTTTGTTTTTTTATCAGGGGTGGGGAATCAGCCAGAGAATGCAGAGGTTAATTTTTGGAGTGAATGGTTGGAGATTAGTCTGAAGGGTTGACAGGGTTGCCAGATCATTATTAAAGGGGCGATATGTTTTGAGTTCAATTGGAATTTAGTCATTGATTGAGAGATGCGTAATTCTAGTGACGTTTGTTTATCGACTGAAATTCCAGAGTGCAGCATCACGAGTGATAAATCCTCGAGGTCCGAATGATAAAAATATCGAGAGAATTTGAAAACATTTTTTAATATATTTTTATAAGTATCTTGGGGATTGGTGGGAATTTCCGGAGATAAATTGTTGTGGATTTGGGGATCAAAGGGAGATGGACGGGCAGTCACCCTTCAGACGTCTGGAGCACTTGAGAATTTTTTTGTCGGGTGGGAGAAAAAAAAATTGGGGAGCATGTGTAAATATGCAGATGGCATCAATTTCATCATCTTTTTGCCAAAAAAAAATTGTACACTAAAAACTTTCGAGTTTGAGGGTGAATAGACGAAATTACTAGTCTCCCTGTTGTGAAGAATTGATCGATAATTTTTTAATGGAGTGAAAAAAAAATTGAGATGAATTCTTCAATGCTGCACGCATCATCTGTCGTATGTCACATTGACACTGACTTGACCCGACACGCGATTGCCCACGAAATACGGTTACGTCTTATGGGTTTGCACTCATTAGCCGATTCGATCCAAATATTTACTCAATCGGATATCGTTAACCAAGCCCATGTCCATTTAATTCCCGCAAATAGAATTTTTTTCACAACGAATATTCCGTGAATATCTTCGTAAAAAAATGTAAAGATATTTTTGTAATGCATAAAATGCATTTGGAATCTTCAAAAGACCGTCTCAAATCGACTGAACGACGACAGTATAAACAGATGATCTAGCGCAACCATAAATTGTTGTTCAATCCTAATAAGAAAATGCGATTGAAGACTCATCGATGCATTCCACAATCCATCGTGTTGTCTCAGTGGCTTCCATAATGTACGAACAGGTCTTTCTCGATCGACATCGGTATAAATCCCCCATGAGCAAAACCACTAACCGAGAAAGGCCTTTACCAATCTTACCTCAGTCACGTAGACACAATTTTTATCTCATTTCAGTTTTTTAATTCTTTAAAATTGATTTCCTCATCAATCCTACGCATGAGATTTCCCTCCTGGCGCCAGTCATCGCGTGTCTCTCTCGTAATAACGTAAACATTATGGGAGACCCTTGTTGTTGTGGAATTTCTGGGAGATATTCACAATTTTAATCAGCTGAAACATAACTCTTCTATTGATAGCTCAATTGTTCCGTTTTCGATGAAAATGAAAAGAATTCTCCTAAATTTTCGGCAGTCTCTGGAGAAAAAAAAACTCGGCATTTTTTCATCGATCTAATGGATAATTCCATATCGCCAATGATAAAATCGTAATCGCGCTATTAATAAATTTCCCAGGTCTAAAATTACCTCTGGACTGTTGCGATTACCAGAAAAAAATGCGTTATCGATAAAAATCAACTTCAAATCGACTTTCAAATGGAAAAAAATGGTGATAAAGCAACAATTATTGGCAGAGTTCAACGAAAAAAACTTGGGATTTTTTCCGGTGATTTTATGTCCAATAATTCCATTTATTTATGCCATCATGAACAGGACATTTTACGGCGGAACGTATCGCTGTACTTGCGATAAATAAATAAATAAATAATATGTTGAGAGGGTTATTACATCGCCCTCGATATTGGAATATAGCGGTATTACCAGGTTATGCACTTTACCCGGTGGTATTCCAGGAAAAGCCAGTGGGGTTACAAGGCACGCGGAGGGGTGTTTTCAGGTACTATTCATGGCGTTTTACCTTTCCATCGATTTGCACTTTTGCCAACTCTACTCGAGTATGCCATGCAGGTCGACAATCCGTGTAAATCTACCGAAGATATATTTTTTTGATTCATTACACAAAAAACATTATTTTAAATTTTTAAGGATATCTAAGTGCTTTTTACAATTTGCTACAGACTGCACCATAGATTCAATCATTTTCAATCATCAAATTTGTTAATTAAATTGCGTCATTAAAATTCCATTTTGCACAAAATTATTATTTTTTAATCATTCGTTGTTTATAAATAAATAATTGAAATTATTTAAACTTTTGGCAAACGTATTTTTTAGGTATGAAAACGATTTCTGGTAAAATTCTGAATATGAAAAACTTCGTTACGATTTCGAATGATTTTTGTGGTGGAAAATTGATTGTTGATAAATTATTTATAGAAACTACTCGTAATTTTCAGAAATTGTACCTTTTTAATTATTTCATCAATTAGGTGAATTGTTATTTGGCATTGCGGTCATTCGTAATTCCTCAGATGTTAGTGAAGTACATTTTTCTTTCGCGCTGTTATTTGAATCTCATCAAATTCGAACTTTAACACTGAGAGAGGGAGTGAGGGATTTCATCAATCTTGATCAAAAAGTAAACTATCATTTTTTTTCAGATTTTTAAAATATTTTTTGATGGTTCACTATCGAAATTCAAATTTAGACCTGTAAAGTTTAATAATATCATCGTAAAATGCCCGAAAACTTGAGGTCAAATGGGGCTCAAATGAAAGCTCCGGAGAAAAAATAGCCAAAGTACTTGGATATCCTTAAATTATTTCAACTATCATCAAAAAAATTTTAATCGACTTCATATCTTTTTTCATTTCTGCAATTAAAAATGCCAATTTGGCTGGGATAATCTGTGAATACGGCGAATATGTCCGAGATGAAAAAGAAAAATAAGAAAACTTGTAATTCAAAGAAAAAAACTGATTAGAATTTTTGTGTATCTCCGGGAAAACATTTTTAATCGTTATTACCACAATTAAAAGTCAATTACCCCCCCCCCC